TACACCAAATTCTTTTCAAAAATATCTTAAATCTTTAAATGGCGCGATGTTGCATTTAAAGATTTAAGATATTTTAGCATCGCGACTTTTCTCATGAAGAGTATGAAATTGCTTTTTCTTTTTTTAAAAAGAATAAATCATCTGGTTTCGATGACGTTTCTAGTAATATAGTTATTTCAAACAAAAAATACATCTCCAAACCTTTGTTCCATATTATAAAACTTTCAATAAAAGAAGGAATTTTTCCTGAAGCATTAAAGGAAAAAAACATTAAACAGAACACGCAATAATTGAAATAGTAGACCAAATTACTAAAGGATTTAAAATAGCAGCTGCACTCTAGGATTATTTATTGACCTATCAAAAGCATTTGATACGGTTGATCACCTAATTCTTTTGGAAAAAATAAAACAATACGGAGTGATAAATAAAACCCATGATTGGTTAAAAAGCTACTTCACTGAAAGAAAACAATATGTTATTAGTAAAGAATCAGGTCAACTTAAAACTTTTTGTGGAGTTTCACAAGGGTCAATTCTTGGTCCATTGCTTTTCTTGATTTATATAAATGATTTAAATTATGCATCAGCAAAGCTTAACTCAATAATGTTTGCTGACGACACAAGTCTCTTCCTTTCAAACTGTGGCATTAATCAACTGTATTCTGAGATGAACTCTGAACTAAGAATGTCGATGAATGGTTTAAGGCAAATAAACTTTCACTCAATGTATATAAAACAAAATATACTTTATTTCATAAAAAATCACAACATGAAAAACTTCCTTTAAAATTACCTGATTTGATTTTAAATGATACACTAATTAGTAAAAATGATTCAATAAAATTCTTAGGAATTCTTATTGATGAAAATTTATCATGGCTTCTCCATATTAATTATATTTAATTAAAAATTAGTAAAACAATTGGTTTGATGTACCGTATTTGTCCATATGTAACATCAGAAAGTCTGAAACTAGTATATTTTGGCCTAATACATTGTCTCATATACTATGCCAATATGAACATGCAAAACCATTAAGATATGCAAAAGATAAATATATATGAAGTCAACATTTACCAACACCTAATTTTTATGTATAAATGTAACAACAGCTTGATTCCAAAAAACTTTAATGATAAATTTACAAAAAATGTATACAAAAAGTATTCTTTTAGAATAAACAAATAGAATATTTATAAATTACCAAGAACTAATAGTAAGTATTCTGAATATGTAATATCATACCGCGGACCAAAACTATCGAACATTTTTCAAAAAATAAAAAATTTAAATACTGTAATTATTAAATTAATTTAAGTTTATAATAAAAAATGAAATTTTTAAATTAGATAAATAGTTTTCTTGATTTTTCGAAATGAAAATCGAGTTCCATTATTCTTAGTTTTTTTACTTGTTTAATTGGCTCTTATTTTGATGTTTAACAGAGTTGCCCGTATATTTTAATAAATATTGATAAAACTATATAATATTATTTACTTTCTTGATTTAATGGAAATATTTATGCAAGCTTTAACCTTTTTATTATATTGAAGATCCTATTTTTTTTTTAACTTGTAAAACCCACCTAGGGGCTCTATGAAAAGATTGTGGTGATTTTTGTCATCCATATCTTTTTTGAGCCGCTGCCTGTTTTTTATAAATCTACTTTTTTGTATGTAAACGTTTCTTTGTAATTATATTTCTTATTATATAATTAGCAAATATATATTTAAAAAGAAAAAAACTAGAATTTTCAAAATTGTGGAGAGAACAGAGATAGGGCGATAATTACTGATTTCAGATTTGTCCCCTTTTTTAAAAATAGGAATAATTTTTGCAATTTTTAATTGTTCTGGGAATACTCCTTGGGGGATAGAAGCCCTAAAGGTTTTAAAAAGAATAACTTTAAGTTGTTCAAAGCAATCTATATCCACGTTTTCATTAATTTAATCTGCTCCAATTGCTTTATTTTTTTTTTAACAGATTTGAAGGCTCTTTCAAAAGTTAACTAATCTGAACCCCTGAATGCAATTATCCAGGGGTTCTAGATAATCAGTAAACAAAGACTTGGTCCTTGTTCAGACAGTGTTAGTCTTATATGAGTGACTTGTTCAGACAGTGTTAGTCTTATATGAGTGAAATATTCATTAAATTCTTGAGCTATAGTTTTTGGTTCATATAAACTTCTGTTATCGACTCTAACCATTTGTGGCAGGAAACCAGAGCATGATTTTTTTTTTGCCAATAATTTCTTTCATTATTTGCCTCGTGCGCTTTGTGTCGTTTTTAAATGTATTGAATAATTGGGAGTAATAACTTTTCTTCAGGTTTTTGCGAATTTTTTCAAATAGGTTTTTGTAGTTCATATAAATTTTTTCGCTAGAACCTGTTTTTGTTTTTAAAAATTTATATAACTTTTGTTTTATTCTGGATGATTTTTTAAAACCTTTAGTAATCCAGGGATTGATATTGATATTATCAATATCAATCCCTGGATTACTAAAGGTTGTTATTGTTTTTTCTACTGTTAGGGAATTAACTTCATAAATGTATTGAAAAAAGTTTCATAAATAAGATTTGCGTTATCATATAAATATATGTTTTTCCAATGCAATAATGGTAATTGGTCTTTTAATAATTTAAATAATATTAATCCTATTATTAATGCCTTTTCTTATTACTTTTTTGGTATTAATGTTTTTTTCTGGGTTTGTTTTATTAAGTTTCAGGAATATAGAAAAATGATCTGATATATCAGTTTTTATGATACCTATTTGTATGTTACTATTGAAAATATCAGTAGTTATAATATTATCTATAAGACTTGATGTGTTTACTGTTAATCTAGTGCATCGATTTATTAAAATTAACTCACCCTGTTTCGAAAATTGCATCATAAAAATTCTTAATTTTATTGTCGTCATTATAGAGAAAACAGTTCATATTTAAGTCTCCGACTATATAGCTTTTCTTTTTTTTTTATTGGTTTCTTTTTTAATGATTTGTTGTAAGAAAATGCTCAGGTTTTCGCTCACGCCGTCATTGTTGGCCGATAACAACAGCTTAGTAAAATGTTTTTAGTTTGAACTAACACTCCACCGCCGCGCTTATTTATTTTCTTCTCCATAGAAATTATATTAAAATGAGAAATATTACAATTACTACTTATTTCATCTACTGTGATCTAAGTTTCAGTTAAACAAATTATATTTAAAATGTGTTTAGTTTCTTCTAATTGGTTTAAAAGTTTTTCAAAATTGCATTTCAAACTTCTTATATTGAGGAGAATTACAATTTGATTATTAATTTTTTCGCGAGCATTCTTAAAACGAAACCCTTCAAGTTGGCTAGGAAAATGATACGAACAATCGGATAAAATACTGTCATAAAAATTATTTTCAGGGTTTAGGTTTTCTGAAAAAAAGAGATTTGTTTCATAAAATTTAAAAAAAAAAAGGGGGGGGGGGGGAAGGGATTTAAAGTTATTAGTCATTGTCATGATTGGACAGCTGAATTCAAAAGTTAAATGTCGTCAATTTGAGTTGGATCAAGATTTTTTTTTTAATTGATTCCCGATCCAAAGCATCTATTACTTAAGGTGGCTTTTTTTAAGTTGATTCTCGATCCAAAGCATCTATTACTTCTTTTTTCCTTAAGATTTCTTAAGGAAAAAAGAAGGTGCGAAAAAATTACATAAATTACAATAAAATACAAAATAAATTACAAAAAAATGTAAAATACAATAAAATACAAAACACTAAATATTCGGACTAAAAAAAAAAATTCTAACATTTGAAATAGTTTTTAAATGTTAGTAGTGGCTGGCTTGACTTTTTGATTATGAACACAGATTTTTTTTTTTGATTATGAACACAGATTTTTTTTTTTGATTATGAACACAGATTTTTTTTTTTGATTATGAACACAGATTTTTTTTTTTGATTATGAACACAGATTTTTTTTTTTGATTATGAACACAGAATTTGATTGTGATAATAAAAGTTTTATTCATATTTCAATTTCTTCTTTTTCTAGTTTTAAACAATTAAAAATATTTAAAAGTTTTCTAAAGTTTATTTTGTGTGTTATTAGGGTGTTTTAAAAAAGACCTAACGATCTTACCACAGAGCATGATGGAAAGAACATATTAAAAATATGTGAATGCCACCTTCTTTACCAATATTGTTTATTTGGTTGAAACTAATTACTTAAACTTTTCATTTATAATTCCATTAACGACTTTTCATTTATAATTCCATTAACGACTTGTTACTTTAAGTTTTCTTATAGAAAATATTTTGTGTCTTTCGAGAAAAATTGTAAAAAAGAAGTAGCAGTCGTTTTCTCTTGTTTTATTTTTACTCCAACTTTGTGGCATTTTTTATGCAATTAGAATATAGGAAATTTATGGAAAACCATACTGGAAAATTTACATTAACTGTGAATAGACATTAATAAACCCACAAAAGTAATAAATAAATAGTTTAAAATAAAATATCCTTTTATTTTTATCTGTTTTGCAGTATTACAACAGACTTTAGGAATTTTAAAGTTTTAACGATTGCTGGCTTTTATTGAAAATAGTATCTACAATATTTTTTATAACATTTTGAGAAGTTATTACCCTCTGAGTTTTTATGTTATAGTTTTGCATAATTGCAGCCTGCATTATAATATAATAATCAATTTCCAATGGATTAGTATAATTACTATACACACTAAAAAAAAGGAAAACAAATCTACCTTAGGGTAGGATATGTGATATACCATTAGTAAAGTATAAGTTTTTAATAAAAACAATTATTTTCCATACAATATTCTACTTTAAAGTTATAATCTTTTACCTTAAAAGGTAGAAAATTTTACCTTACTAAGGATATATCACATATTCTACCTTGAAAAGAAATTTCTACCTTTTTTTATTATTTTAGCGTTGGAATTCTTTATTTTAACTATTTTACTAAAACTGTTTTTGTGTAAAACTTCTATTTATCATAGGTGCGGTATGCAACTTTGGCTGGAATTCCAGAAGTAAAAGCTTCCTTTCTTATAAGCACATTATCAATTACTGCTACAATTTTTAAGGTCATAAGTGGGAAGGTTGCTGGTTTAAATAGCACAAATAAGTTACGAATGTATCAAACGAGTTTACTTTTGATTGCCATAGCAACAACACTTGTACCTGTCACTCGTTCGTTTGTTGGTCTTATGTTTTACGTTGTTGCGTTTGGAATAGGAGAATCGTGTTTTGTCATCATGATACCACTAATTACAAAAGAAATTGTTGGTGTTAGGCGTTTGCCTTTAGCTTTAGGTTGTGTTTTTATGATGATGGGGATCCCGACAACAATGGGCGCTCCTATTGCAGGTACTTTAGGGTTTTCATTTTAGTCACATATTTTCGTTTGTAAAAAACACTTCTAATATTTTATATTCTAGATAAAGTAAACTTTTTTTATAGGTTGGATATACGACTATTTTAACGATTATTCGATTGCTTTTTATGTAGCCGGTAGCATGAACATAATGGGTGTTTTAATTCTGTTTTTAGTAGAATATTACACTGAAAATAAAGCTATTAAAAATATAATATATGGAAATGGAGTTACAAGTATTACAAAAAGCAAAGATGTTTTGTTTATAGAAGAAAATGTGCAAAGACCCGATTCAAAAGTAATTGAGTATACCTGTTATGGTTCAAGCCAAAGAATTTTTTACACGGAAATTGAAAATGAATTATTACAAGAGACAATTCAAAAGAATAAAAGAAGATTTGAAAGTGACCGCTCTGTATATAAAGTAAACTTTGAATCAGATTTTGAAAATTTAAATAAAGACTTTTTAAAAAACGATGACCAGCATTTAAATCATAAACAAATGCAAACTATTTCACCGTTTACAGAAGATCGTTTATGTGCATCATGCAATCATATTCCATTAAAAGAAAAGAGTGAGATTTCATTTAGTAACCGTTGGTCTTTTATTCCAGAAACGTTTAAAAAGTTGAATAATTTATATATTTCTTCAACAGCATCAAGAGACATACTCTCAAAATTTACACTCCAAAATGGATTGTCAATTACTTTCATTGAAAGTATTGATAAAGGAGAGCGCATGGCTACAGCTAAAAGGTTTTCTTCTACAAAATCATCTGGTTTTTTTATAATTGATTTGCCGCCATTTTCCAAATAATTTTCCGAAAATATCGTAAAAAAGAATATAAAAAATAGTTACATAACAAGAAGAGCGGTTAGTCATTTGAATTTTAGTCGTGTTCAATTGGTTAAACGATTGGTTAGTGCAACTAATCGAGCGATTTATTTCTTTAAAACTAGCGCAAATGGAAAGCTATAGTCATTGTATATACAAAATTTTTTTTATAGTTTCTTAGATAATTATTTATCTCATATGATGAGTTGGATTTTAGTATATTGGTATGTTAATAATATATATTAATAAAAAACTTTAAATATAAATCTTGTAATGTTAATAATATAATGATTATAAACAATTACAAATAATATAAGAGTTTATTATGAATCATCAAGACCATTAAACGTTCTTGTGGACTTATCATGGAAATATCAAGACAATTTAAATCAAGAGCTATGAATTTTATAGCTCTTCATTTACACGACCTAAAACTTGTTTTTTTTTTTTAAATATATAAAGTAGGCTTTTAAAAACCGTTTTAAACCGTTTTTAAACCGTCTTTAAATTATCTTTAAACCGTTTTTAAACCGTTTTTAAACCGTTTTTAAACCGTTTTTAAACCGGCTGATTGATAAATTATAAAAATAGAAAGGCGTTTAAATGACCGAAAGTAAATCACAATACATTTCAAATTAGAGTTTCTTAAACAAAACTCGAGCTGATCTTGTAGATTTCCGCAGTTGAAAAAGATTTCTAGAAGAAAGGTAATAAGAAGAAAACGATTTGCAATTTCATTAAATGCTGAATTCTTTAAGTAAGAATTTTTTTCAGTTAAAATTAACTTTTTTTCTCAACTAGTCAAGTATTTGATGTTTTTTAAATAAGATTAATGGTAAGGGCAAAACAAAACGTAAACATTAAAGACCCTAAAAAAAGATTCTTTGTAAAGACTTGCTTTTACTAGTTAGTCACTTGAAAAGACGAAGGTAATGCTGAAGTTAATTTCACTTTTAAAGTTCATTTTTTCCAAAAAAAAAAATCTTGGTTATCTTTTTTTTTTAACTTTAAGATTTTTTTCTTTTTTTGCAACTTCAAAACCTGATAAACCTGACTCAAACCTAATATCTGATGATCTAAAAACATTTTGGCTGAACTTTTCAGTGCATGTTCCTTAATCATTAAGATTTCAAGTTTATGAAAAGTTGTAAAACATTTTATAACACGACACTTTTTTTTTTTAATGTTTTTTTATAATTTTGTTCTTTATTTGAACATTGTGTCCCGTTTTTGATTTGATTTGGGGTAGTCCATTAATAACATCACGCAATTTTTGACCGTTTTTCACCCCATCCTCCTCCCTCGTCACAACATGGTAACACTTTAGTAACAAGTCCCGTATGAGTCGTCACAAAACCACTAATCCCCCCCTCCTCCCCTTGATCGTGACGTAACTTATAGACAACTCCTTTTTAAAATATTTTTTTAATCTTTTAGTAAAAATGAAAGATTATATAAAACAAAGGTATAAACAAAAAGTATTTCGTTTCAAACAAAATTGATCAAGTAAAAGTGTATTGACCCTTTAAACTTAGATTTGACAAAACTTACGTTGTATACAACTTATCTATACTTTTTTGTTATGAAATTTTAAGTTTCGTGACGCATTGTATTTTTCTTTTATTCGAAAAAAATATTTTTACTCAAGTCACAATAACTTTCATTTTTACTCCAAAGCCTAATTCCCTGAGAAGACCTTTCTTATCAAAAAGGTAATGTTGATTGGCATTTTATGAGGTTTCCTGAGGTCTTTAACAAAATTATTTTTAAAACTTTTGTTTTAACTATTCCTGTGTACTATTTTTCTATGAAGGTTTTCTATGTTTTCATTCTAACTTTTATATTTTGCAGCCGTGGTGTAGTGGTTAGAGTTTTGGCTTCAAAATTGGAGATCCGTGGTTTGAAGCTAGTTCTGGTCATATATGCAACTGCGATAAGACCGTTAAGACATATATGAACACCTAAAGTAACATAAAAAAAAGAAGGATACTAATACGCATTCACAAATCTAGGTTTAAGATGATTTTGAAAAGCTATAATCCTACACTGATGTCTAATTGATTTAAAAATCTATATCATACCAAGTTACATACATCTTGAAAAAATAATTGTTGACTAATGTCAACCATTTCAAAATAACATCAAACGGATGACATTGAAAATAAAAAAATATTGAGATTACGTTGATATAAAGATATACTGCATATACACTAAAGAAGCCGAACAACTTCTTTAATGTATTTACTGTTTTACATGATCTAAAAATTCTGCTTTTTTTTTAAGAAAATTAGGATAAAATTAATTTTTAAATATTTCATTAAAGACATTTAATAAACAAAATAACGTAATATTTAGTATTATGAGTTTACAAAATTTATGGTAATGGTTTGATTTAATCTAATATTTAAAAAATTGTTAAACTTCAATAGAAATGGCTTAAATCAGATTTCGGTAGTCAGTTTAGTGTGTCCAGGAGAGCTATACAAACTAAAATATATAAAACTCATTGTAAGCGCTGCAAAGAAAATTTCTATTTGTTTGGTCATATAGACATGCGGTAGTGGTGTAGTGGTAGAGCGCTCGCTTCATAAACGAGTGGTTCCGAGTTCGATCCCCACCACGTCCCTGGTAGTACCGCGCTCAACTTGTTTCTCTGCGCAGCGGCCTTGTTCGTCAAGGTTCGTGTTTCGGAGTTATAGAGTTGAGAGAGGTTTATAGCCACAAAATAAGTAGCCTCCTCGTCTGTAGTGGCCTTCTCGGCCTTGAGGAAGTGAAGTATAATAAAAAAAACAAAAAAAAACAACACCAAAACAAGATTAGTCTAAATCTGTGAAGAAAATGATAGAAATCGCAAACTCAAGAAGACTTAACTAAGTCTTCTTATATGTCTATAAGTCTATATGTTATAAGTCTAACTATATTAAGAGTTCATGAGAGCCTTTAAAGTTAGACGCATTGATAAAAGTTTATGGAAACTTGTCCAAAATATTTTCTTGTTAATAAAAATAGTATTTAATGTTTTCACTATATATATATATATATATATATATATATATATATATATATATATATATATATATATATATATATATATATATATATATATATATATATATACATATATATATATATATATATTTTTTTTTTCCTTTTTAAAAGAGTTTTTCAAGAGAATTTTTTATGACCTAAAAACACTAATCTCTATAATAACTATATAATAGATATGCAGATAAAAACTATATAGCTATAAAAAAACAGTATGCAGTTGTTATATAGATAAAAACTATATAGTTATTATAGAGATCAGTGCCAAAGAACTTGAACATTGGTTTCCAAAATGACATCGTCACATAATCGCCATCATCATGGTTAAGACATATATAATAATATATATGTCTTAACCATGATGATATATATAATACATGTATATTTGTATTTTAGTATATATGTAAAAGACTTATCTGCATTTAATTAAGTAAGTTACAAGTTGGACATATAAAAAAAGTCAATTCAGTGTCAATTTATTATTATTGCTCACACCCACGCTGAACCAGATTTTAGTTTGATGAAATGACATAGGGTTGTGTCATACCTTTTTGAAATTGTTAGAACCATACCATTCATTAACCATACCATTAAGGAAAAGTTAGTGAAAAAAATCATAAAACAAACCTTTAAAAAAATATTTGGGTTTATACAGTGGTAAAAAACGGTTCCCGAACTTTGGCACCCCTCTAGTTGATCATGAGACCAACCCGAGGGGGGAAAACAACTTTTTTATATTTTATTCAATAATATAACTAGTAATTAGTTGTCCCTTCTAGATGGTCTAAGAAACAACCCGAGGGGCACCAAAGTTCATCACCTATTTTGAACCGTGTGTATATAATCATTATTAAACTTTACAAATAAGTTTATAAAGAACAAATAATATATTTTACTTTAAACAAAATATCAAAAATCACTTTATCAATCTATTTAAATATGTTTTCATTGAAAAAATAAAATAAAAAAGCATACAAATATTGTACAGTAGTTTTATACTGAACAATAGTTTTATACTGAACAATACAAAACAGACCACAACTCATCATTACGACATGTGTAACCAAACTTCTTAATTCTGCATATTTTCATATTGTTTTAATTTTAAAAATTGAAGTATAATAAACAACGCTTGTAAATAATGTTAAATAGTATTTAATAAAGAACCTATATACTGTAATAGTCAGCATTTATATTTGTATTATATTATGTTATATTTGTATAGTGTGTTTGAAACATTTTTCAAAGAATTTTTATATGGTATATAAATCTTTATATTTTAAGTATAATAAAAAGTGTGCTTTCTCTGTGTTCTTAAATTGTTTTATTTTTCTAGATAGAATGAGTTTATCTAAACCGACCTGTACTCATGAGGAAAACAGTAGAAAAGTGTATTTATATTGTGCCAAAAAAACAAATAAACCTAACGATATTAATGTACCGTGGATTAAAAGTTTAGTGAATTTTAAATACAACATTAAAATTTCATTCTATCCTAAAGCTATTTGCGAATCTTTCAAAAGCAGTATAAGAAGAGGAAAAGAGCTTTACAAGTAAAGTGGAATAAAATGAAAATACCAGTTTAAACTATACGTGTTTTTGTATGTAAATGCAAAATATGTATAATTTGATCTACTCAAAGGAAACCTAAAAAATTCAAAAAGGGACGTATATGTAACGCGCAACCTCCAGAACAAAATTTTAAAGCTAGGAAAAGAATAAAGATTCAAAGTACAAAACAGAAAAATTGTACAATCAGGGTTAGCAGCAGAGCTCAAATCTATTGACCAGCAACTTGATGATTGTTTTGTTGAGGATTTTGAACTTTTTGATATTAAATCTGTAGACGAAATAAGTTTGTTTAAACTGATCCCATTAATCAGAACAACAGATGTCAATGAGTTTCTGTGGCAAATAATAGATAAAAAAGGAGCCCATCTTCAAAACCAGTATATAAAAATTTCCATTGACGAAGGTCGGGATTTCTTAAGGTAATTTGATTTTATAATGTGCCACTTTTTTTTCTAATTAAAAATAATAATAAGTGTAATTTATTATAAAATATTCAGGTTTGTTTAAATGTTGTATCAAATCCTAGTGAAACAATTATAAATAAAAGGAGAAAATACGGAGAAATTAAACCACCAAATTTCAAGGAAGGATCTGTGAAAGCATCATTTATTATAGCACTGGTACCAGATGTACCAGAGACAAACCATAA